GAGTCATCCCTAAAATTTCAAACCTGTCAGTGGTAGGTTTTGTTTTATTACTTTTTTATTATTAGGTTTTGTTTTGTTTTTTTAATTTTTTTTTAACTTGCAACTGAAGAACCTGTCACTCTTTTAAGAGCAACTGGGTTTAAAACCAAGACCCAGTTGTATATTGGCCTGGTGATATTGTGATACCAAAGTGACTGGCTTGGTACATAAGCAGCTAAAGGCAATTTGTCTCTAGATCACCTGTGCAGACTACTAGGGAGATGTTTCCAGGGCCTGGAAATCCCAGAAGAGTTGAAGAGAGCTTATTCTGTGAGCCTCATCTGCATCTGTTGAACACCCATATCACAATCCACTGTTGGTGCAACCTGAGTACCAACCCCTGAATTTCAGCATTCCCATGACTGAAATATAACAGAAAGGGCCAGAGCAGGCCTGAGTGGGGGAAAAAAAAGTACTCAACTGTTAAACAACTGCTGGGAATTAGCTGAATACTGCATTCTTAAAAATAAACCAGACGTGACCTTCTAAGAACTCTCTGGAGGGGTTTCAGCTCAAAGAAGCAGCTTGAAAAGATAATAAGTAAAAGTGTCTCAGGAGAAAGAAGAAAATATTTAGCCTTTTCAGAGCAATGGGAAATCATCAACCAGGTAATAGTTGCAAAGATAAAACTGGATACTGTGTGCTGAACATCACAGAAGGACACATCAGTGAAGTGCAGAACTGTATATAAAGAACAGAAAAGGAGGGGACACCCATCCCCTGTAGATTATTGATTAGTTTCTTGACAATATCTGCTCTACATTGATAGCTTAGAAGCACAAGCCCAGCTCAGCTGGGAAAGCATACACAGGTGAGACAGGACTAGGTGTTCAAGTCCCTCCCTAGATTATATCAGACTCATCAGATTTTCTACTGGAAGACTGTTTCTTCATTTGTGCCTAGAACCAGAATGAAAACTACCAGAAGTTGAAGAGAACAAATATGTCCTGAGCCATGAAATAAAAAATATGTGAAAGATGTTCCTGCAGGTCAGATCAATCTGAAGCAGGCTTGCTAGCTGTCTTATGAACATTCTAGTCTGAAAAATAAAATTATATATTCAATCATCATCATCATCTGAAGAATAAGAACATGCAGCAGTTTTACATCATGGAGCCAGTAGAATTCTTATCCTTAAGACTATGATTTTCCCATTAAATTTCCAGAACTATATGAATGGGTCCCAAATTATTCAGAGTTCAGTCCCATGACATTTTCAGGATTTCTCTTAACATCAACAGAGATCAGTACTGTTATATCTCTGAGTTTTACTGTGTAGTATAAATTCAACTTGGCTCTATAGCTGAATTTTTAACACACACAAAAAAAGATACGTTCAGAGACACGTGAATGTGTCCTGAGGCTTACAGACAAATTCCTCAGCTGGAGAAAAAAAATAAAAAAATCTAAAACTGCTGTTCCTGTATCTTTGTAATTTTCAACAGAAAATTTGAATGGTGATCATCCATCCCTGCTGGCCAATTTCTAAGAAAGAATCTGTGTAAGTGTGTGGCTGTTACACTCCATATTGCATGCATCTAAATTAAAGTAGGAAAGTATGTAAGTTATAGTCCAAGCCAACTATTAGTCTAATCAATGTATCGTGCTTATTGTAACTCAGTATTGAGTTGTTGAAAATATTTCTGTAAGCTGTACAGAATGGCTTGGAAAAGATCCAGTCACTTTACACATCTGAGAATGTCACCAGGAAGAGAGGAATTAGATGTACAATGCTATTGTAAGAAAATGTTGATATCATTTCCAATGGTTTTTTACTACTCTCACAGTACACAAACATGAATAATTTTCAGTGACAATGTAGGGACTGTGAGTAGTAACATAACCTCAGGAATATTTTTTTGTCAAATACCTGCAGCGTAGCTACAGGAAGGAAAACAAAAATTAAACCATTCTTCAGAATTACCTTTTAAATCAAAGTCAAGCCTGCTAGGCATGAGTTGGAAGGATTCGGAGTCAATACTGTTGTGTCATGTTTGGAGGTAATTGGTTTGTTTTATAAATCTCTCTGCAAATAAAAAGTTATGCCTGATATGTCTAAGGCTGTGCAAACATTCCCCATTTGTGGCATCCAAATTCAAGCTAAATAATTTAAAATGCTGTCTGCAGGAACCTTACAACAAGTAATGAAGAATGTAAGTCTGACATTTCACTTTAGTCCAGTTACTCTGAGATTTTGATTTCTTCAGCACTCTTCTGGGTCCCTGGGTAGTGAGTTAATGAATTCAAGGCTCAGAATCTGACCACACTGCTCCTGCTTCCAGGGTAATAACATCCTAAAAGAGGTGGACATAGGGCTCCTAATAAATGCCAGTGTTCCCATGAAAGAGCTGGGATGGAGCAGCTGGAAGTTTTGGGCTGCTCTGAAGCAATTTATACAGCAGGGATGCCCATGGGACAAACACACCAGGGACACCCTTGCTGCTTCACAGAGCTCATAGCCAGCAACAAGAATATTATGGAGCAGCTTTGAGTAAAATATTTACTCAGCTCTGGAGCAGCTGCTGAGTAAAATATTTTACTTCAAATATGGTGCATTCAGGTGCTTCTGAAATGCAGTTCTCTTTGATTTCTGGTTCACAGATTTCTGCTAGAAATGGAAGAAATCAAATTAAAAGAATCAAATAATGTCTCATAAACAGTGGCTCCTGGCTGTTCAGTGATCTCCATATGGTACTGTTCTCTAGAATAAAAGTTTATTTGAGGACAGTTCCTGTTGCTTTTCTGCAGGTGGATAAAACCATAACAAGGATGTTTGGTACAGCTGTATTGCAGCGTGCCTTAGATCCAAAAGAGCATGATGTAACTTCAGCCTTAACACCTGCACAAGATAGAACTATACAAAATTTGCCAAAAACAGTAAATGCAAGAATCTTTAAAACAATATCTGAAGTGGGAGTAGAAAGAACTACAGCTCTGATCCATCACTGCTTTCACTCAAAAAATGTATTAACCAAAAAACGATCACCTGCAGCAATATTTAGCAAAGCAAAGAAGGACAAAGAGAATTAATTTAATCAATGGGTTTTCCCTTAAGAAGAGGTTTGGTAAACATCTAGAGGGAGCAACAACAGGCATGCTGCTTCTTTCCTTGCATTTTCCGAACTGTGCCCTAAAGAATTTCAGCTTCCTGCTTAGTTGCATCTCAGTGAAAACTGGCACTATGGGCACACAAAGGTGACTGGGGAATTTCTCACTTACTACAATTCATCTTTTTGGGTAATTAGGTAATCAAGTGTTGAGGAATGGGTGGGGATGACTCTTCCATCTTTTGAAAAAAGCCTAAAGGAGACTCAATGCTTTATAGAAAAATGCTAAGATGCTAAAGCAATTCCAAATGTACATTTAATAGATGAAAAATTAAGCTCCTTGTATGGGTCCCAAAGCACTGAATAGGAGAAATGGACAGTGCAAATATGCTGTCTCTCTGCTCTGGGCTTCTGAAGGTGAAAAAACCCCAATTCTTCTATGCCTACAGATCAGTCATGGAATGAGCTGAAAATGTGCTTTTCCTTCTGCTGACAACTATGCACCAAGATCAAAAACAAATTTTAAAACACCAAAAATTTGAAAAGAAAATTGCCTCAGCTGATGCTGTTGAGCCAAACCAACATCCATTTCAACTTCTTATCAAATCAGCTGAGTGCCATTTCATTGTAGGTTAATTGAGATCAAATTTACTTGACTATAAATGCTTTCTTTAAATGCTCTTTCCAATGAAAATACCTAGCATAGCATGTCACCTACAAATAAAGCTATTTAAAAAGACATTTCTGCTTACTGTCTTTGCATCCACCAAGAAGTTCAAAGTCTAGCAATATCGAGAAACGGAAAACATTGGTCTAAACTTTATGGCTACCCTATAAGTAAATCATTTGATGTGTGTCTGTTGAAGTGTTATCTTGGAGTACTTTTGACAACTCAAGTAGTTGTCATGAACAGGAAAAATCAAAAGAGCACTTTATCAAGCTAATACTAATGTTTTAGGTTATTTTATGAAGATCAAACCAAATCAAAATTAGTGGATGCAATGAACCTTGTTTATTACTACCTCTGCCTAAATATGGCAATACTCAGACATCTTGAAGTATGACTGAGCATGCAGGTAAATTACTCAATGAAGACAAGAATATAAAAACCCAACTTCAGGGTGCATGTCCACACAGATAACCCAATTTTAACACAGAGAGGACTTAGTTCAATTTGGTCATCTGACTTTTCTGTTTCATGGCACAACAAATTTACTGTTGCATTGTTGACCTGAGATCTGCCTTTGCCTCTTTTTTACTTTTATATAACACATGGCATTTTCTTTCCTCTCTTATGTCCAATTATTAGATCTCTGGACAATTGCATTTCTCTTCAGTGTAGCTTAGAATTAAACTGCTCTAATTGAAGGAAATGGAGCTACAACACAGTGTGCTGCTAACAGCTCCAAGTCAGGAACCAGCTCCATCCATTCAAACACACATTCCTTCAAAAGCCTCCAGATTCGAGCTCTGATGAAACCTTGCAAGACTAAATGCAGCAGTTTGTTAACATGCCAGTTATTCTCCAAGAAAATTGCTTTCTTTGGGTGTGTGCACAACCTGCTCCTCTCTCCATCTGCTCACCACTGAAATCATGACATTTGCACCTAAACATCCACCAGATGGTGGCCTGAGAAGTACAAGGCCTTGCATCCCAAGCAGCGCCTGTTTCTTTTCCCTGTACAACACACACTTTGTTTGCCACAATGATTATTCAATTATTATTCAGTTTTTATTTATTGGCCACAAGAACTCCAAAGCCCATGGCTTTAGCACATTTCCCCCAAAACAGTGGCTATGGTGTGATGAAAAGAACGAACTTCTGAATGCTCAAATCAAGAGCCTTATTTCCACCTGTTAAACACCATCTCTATCCATCAGCACAGTACAACACAGAAGAGCACACAGACTAGATTTAAATCAATCAAAACTTTATTTATAACTGAACGCACCAAAAATGAAACTATGTACAAAAAGAACTATATACATAAAGAAACAGGCCTCTACACCTCCTCTTCTCCAAGATGCACCTGAGACTGCCCTGAGCAGCGGAAACTCTCATAAATAAATTGGAAAATACATTTCTGCATCGAGTTCCTCTCTGCAGGTTGGGCACATGCCGGTGGTCTCCAGGGCAACGGGGAGGCACGCGCTGCAGAACATGTGGCCACACATAGTTGCCACCATCAGTCGTCCGCTTTGCACAATCTGGAAGAAAGAAAACAACAACCACATGTATTGGGAGGAAAGAATTGGAGTTTGCTGCTCTATTGGCACCAGGCAAATGAGACTTGAGAGCATCTGCAATCACTAAGAACAATGAGGAACCCACACATCTGCCAGTGCTATCCTGGCAAGGGCTTGTCCCTCTCCATTCACCAGCAAGAAGGGACTTGTGGAGCTTCCCAGCAAGGGCTGTGCTTCCAGCCAGCTGCCCACATCAGCCAGCTGACTTGGGCAACTCCCCTTTTGGCTTCTTCCTCCTCCTACAAAGCACAAAGCATGACAAGAGGTGCATCCTTACCTCTGAGTAATAATCCATGCATATTGGACAACTAATAACAACTCCTGGCTCTGCACTAGAGAGAACAGAAGCAGAAAGAATGTGCAGCTGTTAATATCACTACACTTCAATGGTTATTGATACATAAAATCTCAAATAATCAGGCAACTACACTGAGTAGCCCTGGCCCATTTCCTTTGAAGAAGCCTGCTGTCTTTAGCTCTCTGTTTTCTGCATTTATTGAGGATTTGGGGTCTCCCTGCACTGAAGGGTCCTGGTTGAAAAAAGGTGTAGCCAGTCACCCATCTCTGGGATTTGAAGCAAGTAATCCCCATTCTCTGATATACCCCCACACTTGTCTCTAAGGCTCTTTGCAAAGTTGTACATCTGCCTTGGGCAGTTTTTTTCTCTCAAAATGTAAATGGGATCATTTCATCACCATGCAACATGGGAGAAGGAGGGAAATAAGTAGAGAAGAGAAGGCGTCAAACATAAACCAAGCACAGCAACATATCAGTCCTAGATTGAAAAGGAAAAAGGCAAAAATTCTGTTTTTGGTGGGGCATGAGCCATACATACTCTGAACGTGCAATTCCCTCCTCTGCTCCATGTCCTGCAGGGCGTGTGTTAGCCACAGGTGCAGCATTAGCTCCAGTTCCATGACTGTAGCCATTCGGCGTGTGTTAGCCACAGGTGCAGCATTAGCTCCAGTTCCATGACTGTAGCCATTCACCTCTTGGAATCTGCTCAGGGCAGAATTACTCCTTTGCTGGTCATAAACTGAAATTTAATTTTTGTGAGTTATATGGGATGCAAACTGTAGAACATATAAAAGAGCTCTTAAGGAAGGATGCTCTTTATATTGATCTATTTCAGCCTTGTGTATTTTCAAGCCCAATCAAGCGGAAGGGAGATTTAATCCATGAAATAGACAGCAACTAACCACCAAGCTCTCAGTGATGCCCATGGGTTAGAAAAACAAATTCCTTGTTGGTAGAATTGCCTTGTTAAGCTTCAGGCCTTGGCATGCTTCAAGGAGCTCAGAGCCAGGGACAGGTTCACAAAGCTTCAGGAGAAGGATGCTCACTGAGAGTGGGCACAAAGAATGCAGAACTGAGGGGCCAAAAGGACATCCAACACAACTCCCAAGATTAGGAAGCCACTAAGATACTCAACTCTCCTGAAAGCACCTTTGACTGGTAAAAAGAAATTCCTGTAGGGGGAGATTGCGAGCACCGACTCAAGGAGCAGCAACTCCAGAAACTGCCCAGCCCAAAAGAAGAGAGAGACTTAGCAATGGACTGATTGGACTAATTCTAGGGAGGAGTGAGACAATTGGGAACCAAAAGAAGATGGAACACAAATTAAGAAGAT